TTAAATACCATAATAGAAAAATATTTGCGAACACTTTTTTTCAAGTCATCAACCTAAAATTCAATATATACATCAATAAGAATATTATTTTAATTGTAATTTAAGTAATTTAATGGAAATTAAAAGAGAATAAAAAACAGTATGTCCTTTTTCATTGAAAAACTTATCTAAATTGTGATATCCTTAAGTGGAAGCTAGGGAATGCTGAAATTTTAAACAAGGAAAAAAATAATAATAGAAAAAAAATTAAGACCAAGAATGGTGATGGTGCCCTTTAAGCCTTCCTCCATCTTGCAAATTTCAGTTAATAACGAGCTTTAAGACTCAATTGGTTGATTATTAAGTTGAAGATCGGTGCATGGTTGATATTTTACATTATTTTTTTTTAAAAAATTTTATTTATTGGTGAAGGAAGTGTTTGGCTCATTTTAATTTATTAAGATTTGGCATGCTTTAATTGTAACTTAAAGAAATAAGCACCAAAAGATATTAATGCGAACAAAATAACTAATAAAGCCAAATAAAAAGTAAAAAAAAAAAAAAGGACACCAGTTTAATTTTTTATTTTTAAAACAAATCTACATTCACTAATCAAGAAAAGTTTATGTTATTGGAAGTTCTAAACTCTCAAATCACAATGTAAAGGAATCACTTTTAAATATAAAAATAATATAATTACACTTTATAAATTTATAATTATGAAAAGAAATAAAAAGAAAACCAAATAGGTTCATTTCCTTCGTGTGAAGATACCTAATACTTTTTGGGCACGTTGGGATACAGGGTACTTTACTGAAAAGTCTTTATTAAGAAAATGATTAAAAAATTATTACATTAAAAGTTAGAAAATACTAGTGTCAATAAAAAAATATAAGCAAAACCTTCCTATGAAAAGAAATGAAAAGGCACTTGCCCTTCGGGCCAAGCGGCGTTTGAGCTGCCTTGCAGTGCAATTTCCCCTTTTTCAATGCTGGTTTGATTCTCATCCTTGTAAACTTGGTCAAAAAATGAAAAAAAATGAAAAGAAAACCAAATAGGTTCATCTCTACTATAGTTTGAAGTTTTTATGTTTATTAAGAGATATAAGCAGAACCTTCCTAAATGCTATAATTGATTTTTTCTTAAATTTGGAAAGCCATCAAAGAATTTCTAGTAAGTTACAAGAATCATAAGAAATTCATATGATTCACATGTTCAAGTAATTTCAGCCATTTCACTAAATTCTATTTGCAATAAAAGCAAAATGCTAAACTGATTAAGGAATAATCAAAGAAATATACCTCATCAGATTATTCAATTCAAAAAGCATTATAGTGCACCATTGTCCTCCAATGTGGATTGGAAGGGACAAGTTTTTGACGACTCCTCTCCTCCGACAAGCTGTGGAGTATGCAGAGATAAGCAATGGACGGCGGGTTTCAGTTGTCTCTTGTAGCCTTTTGAGATATGGGGGCCTTCTTGGCCGGGAGTGAGGACGGACGGCGCCGGGAAGAGGCCCGACAGATCAGTCGAGATTTTTGCTGAAAATGGGGGGGATGGATTCGGTCGAACCCTAACCCCCATGTACGTTTTTTCTTTTTGGATAATAACGACGTCGTTTTTTAGGGATTGGATTTGTGCTTCGATCATAGGTTTCCTTCATTTGCATTTTAGTCCCTAATATCCTATCTTGTTGCAAGTAGGTCCTTACCAAATGAGACTTGTGTTTTAAATGTTTACAATTTGGTATAACATGACATTAAATTAATTTTTCTTAACAAATTTTTTGGTATTAATTCTCATGTCACATTAAAACTTGAATAGTTTGAAAAAATTTCGTTTAAACTTGAAAAGTTATGAAAAATTAATATTTTAAAAGAACTCAAGATATTTTGAAGAATATTAAATTAACTGAGTAAAGATTGTGTTACAAGAAATTTTAAATAAAAATTAAGATAAAAATAAAAAATAAAAATTTAGGTAAAAATTTTGAGTTATGACACTTTTTTTTATTAAAAAACTTATTTAAATTGTGATACACTTGAGTGAAAGCTAAAGAATATGAAATTTTAAATAAGAAAAAATAATACAAAGTAATACAAAAATAAATGACCGAGAATGGTGATATTACACTTTAAGTTTTGGTTAAAGTATACTTTTAGTCCCTTATTTTAATAAATTTGAAAATTTTAACTCTTCACTTTTTAATATAAAACTTTTAGTGCCTGAGCTTAAAAGTTTAAAAATTTAGTCTTCAAACAAATGGAATCCATTATCTCCATTAAAGTGAGAATAAAATATTTATTAGATTAGCTTTTAATATTTAAAAATATAATAATTTAGTCTCAAAGTTTAAAAATAAAAAAATAATAAATTAAAAATAATTAGTGAATGTCTTTATCATATATATGAAAACAATATTAGATATCTAACTAAAATTAAAGAAAATTTTTTAGTTGTATTTTTTTAGTCTCTTGGAGTTTTTGTCTTAACTCAATTCAGAAATTTTTTTTAATCTTAATCAGAATTCTTTCTTTAAATTAAGTTAACCACTTAATTTATTATAGATATTTAATATTATTCTTGTGTATGTGGCAAAAACATTCACTAATTTTTTTAATTTAATAATTTTTTTAATTTTTAAACTTTGAGGACTAAAGTGTTATATTTTTAATATTTAAAGATTAATCTTATAAATATTTTATTCTCACATTTAATAGAAAGTTAACGATTCTGTTAATTTAAGCACTAAAATCTTCAAATCTTTAAGTTTAAGAGTTAAAAACTTTATAATGAAAAGTAAGAGACTAAAACTTTTAAATTTATTAAAGTGAGGGACTAAAGGTATGTTTTAGCCTTAAGCCTTCCACCATCTTGCAAATTCCCATCAATCTCAATTGATTGATCATTAAGTTAAAGCTCGGTGCTTGGTCGAAATTTACAATATTTTTTAAAGGGAAATAATATTGGAATAATTTTTTTGTCTTATTTTTTTTTGTGTAACTTGATGTGTTATTTATATGATTAATTTTTTTTTATTCATGTGAATCTTATGATATTAAATGTATCTACTTATTTAATAACACATAAAAATTATATCAAAAAATAATATAAAAATGTTGTCTCTATAGCATCGCCTTTTTTTAGAAACATTTTATTTATTGGTGAAGGAAGCATTTGGGTTGATATTAATTTGTTTACGATTTGACATGCTTTAAATTTAGTTTGAAAAATAATTAAAAGGTAATTCTTCTATACAAAATTTTCATACAATATTTTATGTTATTAAAAGATTAACTCTTTTGCTTCTAAGGAAAAAAATCAATGGTTAAAAACTCACAATTTTAAATTAGAGATTTTCATAAAATTAAATTAGAGATTTTAAATTTGAATTTTGAGTAGGGTAAAAAGATATTGAAGAAAAAAGAGATTTATCCCTTTTATATAACTCATTATCATCAAATGTACCAAAAAATTAATTCTTTTTACTTTATTAAAACCTATAATATTATATATATCTATTTATTTAATAATATGTGAAAATTGTATAAAAAATTATATAAAAAAGTTATATGCATATATCATTATCCATTAATTTAAAGAAAAAATATCAAAAGATACTAATGCAAACAAAACAAATAATAAAGCAAAATAAAAAGTTAAAAAAACATAAAAGTTTTAAAAGTTTTTTGGTTGTTTTCAAAACAAACCTACATCCAGTAGTCAAGAGAAACTTATATTAATAGAAGTACTCAAGTCTTAACTCTAAAATATCAAAGTAAAAGAATAACTTTTAAATATAAAATTAATATAGTTATAGATATTACATAATATTGTAAATTTAAAATTATGAAAAAAAGAAAAAAGAAAAATCAAAGAGTTTCATATCATTTCCTCCATGTGAGGGAACCTAATCTTTTAATTCCAAAAAATTAGAAAATTTCAATCACACAGCAAATTGCGCAACTAAATTAAAGCTAAATGAA